TTTCAGGCAAGCTGGGGTCCAATCTCTAATAAAGTTATCCAGAGTCAAATTTAAATTTCTTAATATTTTGTAAGTGGGACTCGTCTTGCCGAGACATTAGCGCAAACCCTGCTTCACACACACATGGTACATCATGTCACAAATAGATATGTGCATTTGTCTCATGATCTGCTTAACAATAGCGGAATGATGGCCATTTTAAGGCCGAAAATGCATCAAAATCACGTATTTTCACAATTCCAGAACCGAATCTCAGTCATGCATGGATGGATTTTGTTCAGATTTAGCACAATGTGTTGTACATATGCAGGTGCATTTCGGTCATGATCTGCTTTGAATGTATCTGTCACTCAAATATGAACGGAACGGGGACGTGTCATTGACAATGACTTGTAAAATCATAGTTTGAACTAAGCTTGGTCAACCTTTCAGTTTGTGTTGAGAAAAAGTACAAAAATGTTGACTTATGGATTGATGTCTGCGTGTGCGCCACTGGACTGGTCACATTCAAACAAATACTGTAAAACATGTTAAAAAAGCAACAAACTATTTTTGCGAATTGTGGTAAAATTATGTAATAGCGAAATGTTGATTTAGAGAATCTCTCTTGTCTTTGTTGATTTCCTGTTTTCACAATAGTTGTCTGTCAAAAGAAATGCGCAGTTATCACCTCTATAAAAACAAAGAAAAACTGTCAATTGTAATAAGGAAGTGCTCCAGATTATTACGTTTTCTGTGTTGTTTACAAAGTGTGTTTGTGGAAAAAAAAAGATATTGTTTGGCCGCCATTTTGAATTTATAATGAAGTCATTAGCAACGTCTTAAATTAGCGAATTAGTTCTCTCACTAAATTCACTAAGAAGACGTGTTTTACAATACATCATACATTTTGATACTGTAGAATACTTTATTTTCGCTTGGAATTTATTTTCGCTGAAGGGATGATTCCGTGAAAATAAAATCCAGCGAATATACTTTTTTTCCTATATTTCACATTAAACTCCATAAATTCCATACAAAACACCAAAAAAGCCTTTTCAGCAAAAATGTATTCCAGCGAAAATAAAGTATTCCACAGTACACAATGACTGAATGGCAGCCATTTTTGCATTTTTGTGCTAAAAATTCATCTGGATATGTTCTTGATCATTCATGTTCAAACTATATATTTTCTAAACCTGATATCTCCCAGGGGCGATGTAAAAAGTCTAAAAGTTGCCAAGCTCACAAAAAAGATACTAATTTACATATGTACAAAACAAAATGATGATTACTAATCTGTATATAACAAAAACAATACCACAATTAGACACACTCCAGTTATCTAAATATCTATCATTCATGCAATGACTTAGACACAGTTCACTTCAGTTCAGTAGGTCATAAACATTGCTGTGCACTCACTCTAGTTGAAATCAACACAATCAAACAATGAACCCAAACAATAGCTTTACCATCTACTGCACAAAACAACACCACTCTGAAGATGAATGACCCATATATTCTTGCTATGGTAAACAACATTATAGAAGAAAGGCTTGACATTTGAATTACAGGCAGGTTGCTTCACATCCCAGTCAGTGTGCTTTCTCTCTCTGCCAATATGATGCACCACGTATGCTGTTACACAACTAGTTGTGCTAATTCACTGAGTTGAGAAAATCATACATTGATATAATGTTACTATGTAATGGAATTTGTAATTGAATAAGGAATTGAAGGAGAGCAAGGCTACAACATTTCTCTTTGTGCCTTAAGTAATCCATTCAGTTGCAAATAATTTTAACTTGTTTTAACCTGAATCTCAAACAGTCAACAAACTCAACTCATTTTGGGGGATTCTATCTCCCTCATGAACCTTGTGTAATTCTATGGGAAGGTCACATATTTGTCCTTGGTAAAATGCATAGACCTGATTGGAAACACCGCAAATATACACACCCAATCAGAGTTGCCCTAGCACATGGCAGTGGATATAAAACTAAAGATGGCCTGTCCAAGTAAACTCAGAATGTTTAATTATTAGACATGTTACAACTAATTTATTTGCATTATAGGACATTAAACCAGATGAAGAGCTGCTGTGTTGGTTCAATATTCTGTCTGAAACTCAAGCTGATTCAGATGCTTCAGAGAGTGGTGAAAACACCAAGAAAGAAAAAACACTGACGGCTGTTAAACCAAATGTAGAAATGAGGGCACCAAAGAAAGGCAGTAAACAAAGAAGTTGCAGTATATCACCTGGGAAGAAGAAAAAGATGCGACAGAAAGAAGAGAGAAGTGCTGATGAAGATGGAAAAATGGACAGTGACGAAAAGATGGATAAACAAGGTGAAGGAATTAAAAGAAAGAACAAAAATTCCAAAGATTTATCAACAGTGACAAGTAAAAAATCTAAAACTGCTCATCATGAGAAAGACGGAAATGAAGAAAATGATGAGGAAGAACTGCCTGTGTTGGATAAAACAACTGAAGAAATTGAACAAGGTAGTTTGAAATATTTTAAAATAACATTTTTTTATTTTTTCCAATTCTTTGAAATTTTTTTAATCTGTTTAAAGCTGAAAAAAATAACAGCTGTGGTACCAAATAAAATGTTGGAATGTAGAGGCTCTATCTATGTAAACCGCATCTAGACAGCTGGAAATTTAATATTTGTTGAACAATGCTTAGTTTATTTTGTTTATAACCAATCACTACTACAGCTTGATATTATGATAATTTATAGTCAAATATGGGTTCATTAAACTCTCTGCTACCGTTGATACTCTGCCTGATTTTGCAGTGCAATGCATTATATGTAAACTCCAGATAAAATCAGCTTTGAGCTCAAGTCTCAACCAGACAAGCCAACAGTGATATTAGTGCGCTGTTTTTGGGAGGTATGGTGGGCAGTGTCAGTGTAAGTGACTGGCAGTGACTAATAAACAAGGGAACTATCTAGTTGTATAAGTATAACATGGTGTGGTACATTACACTTTGTTTACTCATCTGGTGCCACAAAGGTTATAGTGGCTCAGTATTACACAAATCAGAAAATGACAAAATATGCAGAACCTGGCCAGTTAATTGTAATTGACAATTCTGTCTGTGGAATCGTAATCATGCTGTATAGCATTTTTTTTTTATGGCAACTTGTTAACTTGGTTTGTGGAATACAGTATTTGTCTTGATTAAAAGATCTTACTAAAATTAAACTGACATAATCCTTGACAGCATACAAATATTTCTGCAGCTGGAATAAATTACTGGAAAGTAGTTGAAACACTGTTTCTTTTTGTCTTTATACATTATCTCATTTTATAGTACAATATTTTGTATTTATTTTCTCAGACGATGCTACAAATGGCGAAGATGGAAATATGCCAGTGTTAGAGAAGATTTCAGCTGACTATGATGAGGGTAATTCCCAGGATGAAATGATGGCATGCAAACCTTCTAGTGAAAAATCTATAGTTGAAGCTGATAGCACCACTACAGATGCTGAGGAAAAACGCAAGCAGAACAAATCTGTTCAGCTAGTGGATAATACTGATCCAGTTGTTGGTGACAGTGATACAAAACCAAAGAAGACTTACCCCAAGGTGTTTCTACCTCGTCAACTTAATGATAAAGGCGAGCCAATCATCTATACTTCTTTCAAGGATTTTAAATATGAATTAACTGCAAATGACTTTATCAAAGGTGAGGGGAAAAAGGCTATGTACCAGTGCAAGCTTTGTCCGTGTATTGTAGAATATCCACAAAATTTGAAAAAGCATTATTTTAAACGTCATATTGAAAAGAAGTTTAAAAAGCTCACCCAAGTTGGCAAGTCTTTGAAAGCTATTCAGCGCAGGGAGAAGAACAAAACCAGAGCTGTTAGTTCTGATGCAGAGATGAAGTCAGCTGATGATACAAATGGAAAAACAAATGCAGGAAAGGTGGATATGAAAGTGGAAGATGAAGGAAGTGGGGATGGAATAATGGATGTTGGAGAGAAAGCAAAAAGTGAGACAGAAGTGAAAGATTCTGTGATTAGAGCATCTGATGATAAAACAGGATACCCTTGTAAAGTATGTGGGAAGGTTTTAAAATCACCTAAACGACTCAGTAATCACATGTCACTGCACCCTAAGCAAAGCATTATGGAATGTACCAAGTGTAATCGGCAGTTTCTTTGTAAGCAGGGCTTGGAGAGACATCTGCTAACTCACACCGGTGAGAAACCACATCGCTGTAAGTACTGTGGGAAGCGGTTCAGTACCACAACTAATGTCAGAAGGCATGAACGGTTGCATTCTAGAGACAAAAAACACCCATGTGAGAAATGTCGCATTAGCTTCATCCAGGCAAGTGACTTGCAAAGACATTTACAAAGCAACCATGGAGATGTTGATGACTATGCAGATGAAGTACCTACTGAAGAAGAGCTTAAATACGATGGTGAAGATGAGGAGGAAGCAACAGATGAAAAGAGGGATAAATTAATAATCGATGAACCTGATGATGATGAACATTCATGTCCATGGTGCAGGAAGACGTTTGATAACCCTACTAGTCTGAAGCGACATGCCAGCCATGCACATCGAGGAATATACAACAAACCTGAAAAAAAGAGAGTGAAATATACCAGACGAACTGTTAGTGAAGGAGATGAGGATGATCCTGAAGGATATGTGGAGATGACAGGTTTATCTGACAGTATATCAGAAAATCTTAGTAAATACTTGGATGGTAAGATACAGAGCGCTCCAGAGATCTCAGATGCTTCTCAGGAAGGTAGTGAAAGCCTCAGGTCAAGACGAATTAAAATCACCAGACCAAAAGATCATAGTTTAGGAGGTGCCACTTCACAGGGTGGTTCACCGGCTGATCATGTATCTAGAACTTTAAAAACATCACAAGCTCCTTATAGTACAGCTACAAGTCCTGAAAAAAGTATTTTAGGTTCTGTTTTGACATCCACTAACAAAAGCCGATTCATGCCAGCAATTAATGATCATGTACAACATTTAGTAACTCCGAAAGATGAATCTCCTGCAAGGCAACTACCTCTTCCAACTCAAAAGAAAGGTGGATTTAGGTCAGTAACCTCGCCACGGAAAGTTGTAAAAAAGAATTTTGAAACTGTAGATATTATGCAACCACCAAGTGCCCATACCAGACCACCATATATTGGGAGTTGTGGACCTAAGGATTGTGGAATTTTCCACAAGAAATCTAACACTGTGAGTAAATCGAGTGAAGAAAAAATGCCAAAATCTTCTGAAAAGCAACCAAAGAGTGTAAAAGAATCTGATTCAAGAACATCCCCAAGTTCACCAAAAGCAATATCAAATATGAACAACCAAAGCAGCCCTGTGAAAGGGTCCATTGATCTATCCTGCCAGAAGAGTCCAGTGTGTGATGTGAAACCTGCGACCCCAACGAAGGCAGCAAACTATGAAAGTACCAATTATTCCAAGAGACCTGCTTCTGAGTCTGATGATGAGGTATTAGATCTTAGTGTAAAGCGTCCCAGGATGGAAGAAAAACCATTAACCAAAGCAGTTACTAAAAAAACAGACAAAGACGTTTCCCCTTCTACATCTGCTGATCAACCTTTAGATCTCACATGTTTTTCAAAATCCAAGACCTTTATCCCACGTTCTACAAGCATATTTAAGGGAAACATGTCAACAACATTAACAAAACATGGTCTGTCAAGTCAAGTTACAACTCTTTATTCACGATCAGAGGGTTTGTTATCTCGTGTTGGTTTATCACTGGCTAGTCAAAGTCAACAGTGGTCTAAAGAAACATCATCATACAGTAGCTCAAATCAAGATATGTCTGAGAATTCCATGAAAAGCCCTACATCCCCAAGTACATCTGAAGATGTGGGAAGCAGCCCAGAAGACATCACTGCAGATATTCTCTTATCTAGTAGTACTAGATCATTTACTTGTAATGTTTGTTCTACACCATTCCAATCAATGAAAGATCTTAGTCAGCATGTTAAAGTTCACAGCGATGAATGGAAGTTCAAATGCGAGTTTTGTATTCAGCTCTTTAAAGACTCCAACATTCTGGTTGAGCACAGATCTAAGAAACACAGAGTTGGCAAAACCTATGCATGCTCTGCTTGTAACCGAGAATTTGGATATTTATCCAACCTAGAGCAACATCAGGTTGATGTACATCCTAACATCAGATGCACTTACACAGAGCTTGGGTCTGGAATACTCAGAAGACACAATTTTACTGATCCTTCAAAGTCAACTCCACCTGTAGAAAGCTCACATCACATAGGAACATCCGAACAAAACAGAATTAGTCAGTTGATTGAGCAAGCTAAAAGTCAAACTGCACTAAAATTCTCTCCCAGGAAGGTTGGGAACAGCCTCTCTAAGGAAGCCTCCCCAAGAAAAATAGTCAATCCTCAGAGAAATCATCCATTCTTGGGATTACGTCCCGGTATTGATTTGCTTGGTACAGCCACAGTGGAAGATGCCCAGCAATACGTGCAGTCTATGCCAACTAACCAGTGTACCAAGTGTGGAAAGCAATTCAATGATGTTACAGCTTTCCACAAACACATCTTCTTGTGTGCCGTGAGGATACAAGAAAAGAAAAAGAAAAGAAAGAAAGGTGGTAGAAAGGGACGGCCACCAAAGACCAGTAATGAAGAGTTGATAAAAAGGTATATAGCTGCTGGAATGACTGCTTCAAACAAATTGAAACGCAGAGCATTACACCTACAACAGCAGTACAGAACCAAACCACAGCAAAAATTTTATAACCCATTAAATCATACCAGACGGAGAGAGAAGTCGGATGTGTTGGATACTTACAAATGCCAGGCTTGTGAAAGGGAGTTCAGTAACATCACTAAGCTAGAGAGGCACATGAAAGTATGCCCTAACCGGGATCAGCTTAGGAAAGCCACACTGCAGAAGACACTTGAGAGGATTGGAGAAGGCTATGATGAACAGAGTAAACAGTTATTGCAGCAGCATAGATGTCCTCATTGTACAAGGCAATTCACATATCTTCTAAGTCTGAAGAAACATGCTGAAATCTGTACCATGAAAAAGGATGGTTCTCCCATGAAAAAGCTCAAAGATCTAGGTCAAGTATTTGGGAATATGTCTGCAGATGGAACAGTACCAGTAAGGAAGAAACGAGTGAAGACTGGTGGTAGAAAGAAAAAGAGTGAAACTGAGATTGCCGCACAGCAGGTCCTAGAAGGTAAACCAAAGAAAAGACATTGGAGAAGGAGGAAGAATATTGAAGGTGACAAGAAGATTAAATCAACTAGTACTGTAACAAGTATTAGTGAGAACAAACTTGTGATTGTTGTTAAAACAGGGGGAAAAATGGGCCACTCTGTCAGGAGTGTGCACACACAGGATGTCTCAAACATAGCAAAAATACCAAAACTTCAGAATGAATCCACCAATGTCAAAACTGAAAATACATTATCAGATAATGCAGTCAAGGACAAGTTGTCAGTGGTTGTTAAAGAGGAGAATGCTGTGGTTAGTCTCGGTGGAAAGGTAACTTATGCTGTGGAAACAGCCGGAGAGACCTCAGTTGTTCCCTCAAGTGAAAGAGATGCTGTCCACATAATACAACAAACTTCATATATTAATGAAGATAAAGTGTTGCCTGTTGATAAAACCAGAAAAAAAGTAGGACATAGTGACAAAGGCATTGTTCCAAAAATGTCACCTGTTGCTAAAACTGGAGACAAAATAGGACATAGTGACAAAGGCATTGTTTCAAAAATGTCACCTGTTGCTAAAACTGGAGACAAAATAGGACATAGTGACAAAGGCATTGTTTCAAAAATGTTAACTGTTGCTAAAACTGGAGACAAAATAGGACATAGTGACAAAGGCATTGTTTCAAAAATGTTAACTGTTGCTAAAACTGGAGACAAAATAGGACATAGTGACAAAGGCATTGTTTCAAAAATGTTAACTGTTGCTAAAACTGGAGACAAAATAGGACATAGTGACAAAGGCATTGTTCCAAAAATGTCACCTGTTGCTAAAACTGGAGACAAAATAGGACATAGTGACAAAGGCATTGTTCCAAAAATGTCACCTGTTGCTAAAACTGGAGACAAAATAGGACATAGTGACAAAGGCATTGTTTCAAAAATGTCACCTGTTGCTAAAACTGGAGACAAAATAGGACATAGTGACAAAGGCATTCTTTCAAAAATGTCAACTGTTGCTAAAACTGGAGACAAAATAGGACATAGTGACAAAGGCATTGTTCCAAAAATGTCACCTGTTGCTAAAACTGGAGACAAAATAGGACATAGTGACAAAGGCATTGTTTCAAAAATGTCACCTGTTGCTAAAACTGGAGACAAAATAGGACATAGTGACAAAGGCATTCTTTCAAAAATGTCAACTGTTGCTAAAACTGGAGACAAAATAGGACATAGTGACAAAGGCATTGTTCCAAAAATGTCACCTGTTGCTAAAACTGGAGACAAAATAGGACATAGTGACAAAGGCATTGTTTCAAAAATGTCACCTGTTGCTAAAACTGGAGACAAAATAGGACATAGTGACAAAGGCATTGTTTCAAAAATGTCACCTGTTGCTAAAACTGGAGACAAAATAGGACATAGTGACAAAGGCATTGTTTCAAAAATGTCACCTGTTGCTAAAACTGGAGACAAAATAGGACATAGTGACAAAGGCATTCTTTCAAAAATTTTACTAGATGCTAAAACTGATAAAAGCGGAAAAAGTGTTGAAGATATTACAAAATTGTCAACTATTGCTAAATCTGAAGTAAAAATATCTGACATTGAAAAAAGCTTTGTACCAAATGAGTCACATATAATTGGGGAGAAACTAGGACTTGGTCTCAAAATTGCTGTTTCCAAGACGGGAGAAAAAGTAATAAGACACAGTATTGTGAATATACCCAAAGTGTCACCTGTGGCAAAAAGTATGGAAAAGGTTCCAATCGTTTCACAAATTGTAAAAAAACTTGCGCCAGCTGCCAAGAGTGAAAATAATCCCGAAAGAGTTGTCAAACCTGCAGAAATAATCCCTTTAAAAACATCAACATCTACAGACATCTATAAACCTGTTTCACATACAGAAAAATTAACTGTTAAACAAACAAATAATACACGTGTTGCTCCAAATGTTGTGTCGTTAGGTATTGACGAAACAATTGATCCCAGCAATGAAAAAGCAATACAAAGTATACTGGAAACAAAATTGAGGGAAACGAAAGAAGATACTGGAAAGTCATCAACATGTGCTATTAAAAGTGGAGAAGCAATAAATGAAGAAGAAGAGAATGAGACATCATCTGTTGATAGCGATGAGTTGCCTTTGTCAAAACTGATAGCATCATCAGCATCCAAAGTAAAAGCTGATCAGGTGGATATGAAAAAAGATTGAAAATTATGAAACATTTTGACCTTTGTTTTGCTTCAACTAATTTATTTAAATACAGTGGTAGAATAACTATTTCAGAAAAAAATTAATGTAATTTCTGTATTGGAACTCTTATAATGTGATTTTAATTATTGATTAAAGTTGCATTCAGAGATTATACTTATTGATGCAAAGTGTTTGCATATTATACAATCAATGATTAGTTCAAAACACCAATGAACCTAGAAGTTTCATGTCAACTTAAAACATTTTGTTTCATTGAGTGCTCTAGGGTTAGCCTGGAATCTACAATGTTGGCTCACCACAATGCTAATTATTAGTTATTTATTGATCTTAAATATGATTGGTCGAATGAAAAAGATTGTCAGTGTGTAAACGCTGTAGATGATCTAGAGATTCTATGTTGGCGTTGTCTCTACTCATTATTTATTGTTCATCAAAAACCACAATGTTGTTATCTAACGCTCTCTATCTGAAAACGTTTACAACTATGGAATGACAAACCTCCATCTTGAAAAAGTCAGTTTATGCCAGCAGATATATATTCTCTAATTTTGTCATTTTTCCATGTAAAACAGCATTTTGAATTGTAGAACATATGTATAAAGCTAAAGAAGCATGTAATGGTTGGCAAAATTAACACTGTATTCAAGGTACTGTCAATGGGATGGCTGAAATGCAAATATTGTTTAAGTTGTAATGTTAAATTTCTCTTTGAAGTGGTTTGCATATGCTGAGATTTTCTTCTGTTTAAATTTGTGTCAAAATAAGGGCTCTCTTTGAGACTTGTATTCACTGATCTATATAGAATTTTACAATAAGTATCTTAAATATGCATGTTTAAATTAGGAAGAGAAATTACATCTGGGTGCTGTTAAGGATGTTATTAAAATAGTGCATTTACAAAATGTTATTATTTGTATGAGTAATATAAGACAGATCCACCTATTTTTATTTTTTTCTTTAGGTGTAATATAAAAATTAAAAAAAAAGTAAAAAGAATATTTTTACTGTATAAATATTTATTATTAAAACCCTTTCTTGTTATTTTTTTCAATGCAGTTTGGTATCTTAATATTATGCTTTTTCGCATATTGAATGTTTTCTAATATTGTAAAGTGTAGTTGTGGGTAGATTGGAAGTTGAGGTCAAGGTCTAGAACATTCTAGAAAGTTATTATAAAAATTGGTTTTTGATAACATTTCCTAGAAAGGTATAGTTCATAATAAAAATTAGTTAGTAACACTTTTGGCTTCCTTATCAACATATTCTGTACTGTTGATCATGGAGAGTTTCAACCATTCTAATTTCATTGGAGAATAACTGGTAATTCTCAAGTTGCAGGAAATTGCAAAGTAATGTGGCATTACACTACTGTAGAATACTTTATTTTCGCTTGGAATTTATTTTCGCTGAAGGGATGTTTCCGTGAAAATAAAATCCAGCGAATATACTTTTTTTTCTATATCTCACATTAAACTCATCAAAAATCAGTGAAAATAAATTCCACACAAAACGCCCAAAAAGCCTTTTCAGCGAAAATTAATTCCAGCGAAAATAAAGTATTCCACAGTATTCATTGCAATCCTAAAACAATGAGTCAGCATTTTATCATGATTTCCCTTTAATCAAATAACAAATTTTTATAGCCTCAAATGTCCTTGTAGTTATAATCATTGAGATTATTATCCACTGATTTTATTGTCTGAACTGGGCACAGTTTAATGTGTAGAAATTTTTCAACATTTTGTAAATTTTGTTCACCTGAATGAACTGGTGGTTTTGGTATTTCGCATTGCATCTCAAACTCTCAATATAATTCGTTGTTTTTGAAGTTATAACTGGTAGAAAAAGAATTTCCTGATCAGCAATTAATTTTGGTATACAAATATTAAAAGTCTTGGCTTTTTTTTTTTTTATATTAGAGTCTGTTTTTTGAAATGTAAGTGCCTTTTTGCCTGTAGAAGGCGTTATGCAAGTGCATTATATGTTTTGAGAGTTTTTGAGCTGTACAAACTATAACGATAAATATAGATTTATATTGAAAGCATTGTATTTGCTCCAAAAGAAGTGTATTTCTAATATATGTGCATGTACCAGGGGAAAGCAGTATCCCAACCTATCATTGCAATTTACATGATATGTTTTTATTGGAGCAAATACTGCATATCATTTGGGCAAGGTTTGTGAATAATTAAACTGATCCTACTACAGCAAGCATGTCTTTATTCTTCATTCACATATACTGTGTGTTAATTAATTTACCTATTTTTTTAATAATATATTTGATCATTAGAATATTACTAGTATTTTACTTAGTACTTTTTGGAAGTATTAGGAAGCATTGTTTGACTCAATGTATTTCTATTAGCGATCCTAGGATTAGTCATTAGACTTTACAGTACTTCTGTAAGTTAGAAACTTTTGGTTACCTATAGAAGAGATATTTGACGACATTTATTTTCTATTAGATGGTTATCCTGGAAGAATTGTTTGGCTAAACATGTAATTCCATTAGGTGGTAACCCTGGGTCACCTTGGGGAGGAGTTATTTGTCTACATTTATTTTCGTTTAGATGGTGATCCTGGAAGAATTGTTTGGCTAAACATGTAGTTCCATTAGGTGGTAACCCTGGGTCACCTTGGGGAGGAGTTATTTGTCTACATTTATTTTCCATTAGATGGTGATCCTGGAAGAATTGTTTGGCTAAACATGTAGTTCCATTAGGCGGTAACCCTAGGTCACCTTGGGAAGAGTTATTTGACTACATTTATTTTCTATTAGAGGGTGATCCTGGAAGAATTGTTTGGCTAAACATGTAGTACCATTAGGTGGTAAGCCTGGGTCACCTTGGGAAGAGTTATTTGACTACATTTATTTTCTATTAGAGGGTGATCCTGGAAGAATTGTTTGGCTAAACATGTAGTTCCATTAGGCGGTAACCCTAGGTCACCTTGGGAAGAGTTATTTGACTATATACATAGTAGTTCCATTACAAATAGTTTCATTCCATGGCGATCTAGGGTTACCCTGGGAGCATTTGTTTGATTGTACTTCTATTTTTCTATCCTGCTGTATTCATAAGATTTGGGTGCTTTCTTTATATTCTTCATTCAAATAAAATGATTTGAAGATGTTATTCTGTATTGAGTTATTTGTTACTTGTGTGGCATACATCTTCCCTATTGCAGTAAGAGGAATTTTTACCTTGCCTGTATCATCAAAGATGAAAGGGAAAAGTATATTAGGGGGAAAATGTCTGTTGCCGTTGTTAATAATTGTTAGTGTGTGCAGAATAACTTTACTAATTCTAATCCAAACTTTATCAAACTTGGTAACCTAATTCATCAGTATAAAATATTTCTTAGTGTGAATGACATGCGAAAATATCATGCACAAATTGAGAAAGTAGTAGTAAAATCTGATAAAAGTTTTTGACTGTTTCTACTTGATTGATTACAGATTACATACACATTCAAAGGTCACTGGTCCCAGTGGAAATATGCAATGCTTTGTGTTCAATGAAGTAGATAAATTATCTTGTAATCATTATCATTGGCAATGTATCTCCCAAGTCCCATGGGAATATTGGATTGTAATCAATATCATTGGCAAAGTATCTCCCAAGTCCCATGGGAATATTGGATTGTAATCAATATCATTGGCAAAGTATCTCCCAAGTCCCATGGGAATATTATTGTAATCAATATCATTGGCAATGTATCTCCCAAGTCCCATGGGAATATTGGATTGTAATCAATATCATTGGCAAGTATCTCCCAAGTCCCATGGGAATATTGGATTGTAATCAATATCATTGGCAATGTATCTCCCAAGTCCCATGGGAATATTTGGATTGTAATCAATATCATTGGCAATGTATCTCCCAAGTCCCATGGGAATATTGGATTGTAATCAATATCATTGGCAATGTATCTCCCAAGTCCCATGGGAATATTGGATTGTAATCAATATCATTGGCAATGTATCTCCCAAGTCCCATGGGAATATTGGATTGTAATCAATATCATTGGCAATGTATCTCCCAAGTCCCATGGGAATATTGGATTGTAATCAATATCATTGGCAAAGTATCTCCCAAGTCCCATGGGAATATTGGATTGTAATCAATATCATTGGCAATGTATCTCCCAAGTCCCATGGGAATATTGGATTGTAATCAATATCATTGGCAATGTATCTCCCAAGTCCCATGGGAATATTGGATTGTAATCAATATCATTGGCAATGTATCTCCCAAGTCCCATGGGAATATTGGATTGTAATCAATATCATTGGCAATGTATCTCCCAAGTCCCATGGGAATATTGGATTGTAATCAATATCATTGGCAATGTATCTCCCAAGTCCCATGGGAATATTGGATTGTAATCAATATCATTGGCAATGTATCTCCCAAGTCCCATGGGAATA